GTTAAGTGTGCGTGCTCCGCTGCTGGCGGCCCGGGTTTGATCCCGGGTGCGCACCGATGCACCGCTTCTCTGGCCATGCTGAGGCCGCGTCCCACATGCAGCAACTAGAAGGATGTGCAGCTATGACCTACAACTATCTGCTGGGGCTTTGGGGGGAAAAATAAATAAATAAAATTTAAAAAAAAAAAAAAAAGCCATACTCAGAGTCATGGTTATCCCATTTCTGTTAGAAGCAAAGTTGTTTATAGAAATAACTTAAGAATTTGCACAAATTGCCTCCAGTAGCTGACTGATTCTTTAATTCCTTTAGTATTCAAAACATTTAATTAAAATATGTGCTTTGTTGGAAGTATCTGCCCAAACTTTTTTTTTAATAATTTTATTTATTTATTTTTTTCCCCCAAAGCCCCAGTAGGTAGTTGTATGTCATAGCTGCACATCCTTCTAGTTGCTGTATGTGGGATGCGGCCTCAGCATGGCCAGAGAAGCCGTGCGTCGGCGCGCACCCGGGATCCGAACCGGGCCGCCAGCAGCGGAGCGCGCGCACTTAACCGCTAAGCCATGGGGCCGGCCCCCCTGCCCAAACTTTCTGACTGATATAAATATGCATACGGCTTACTAATAGACTTCATCTAGAGAGTTACAAATGAAAAGGAAACTCTTAGGATCTGAGGGAATTAGAATAAAGGACATCAGTCTTTAAAAAGGGTGGCTTGTGGAAATGGTCTCTTTTCTTTGCATAGTTATATCTCTTAGAAAACGTATTCTACCACCACCATGACCCCTAGTTGGTTATAAAGGGATTGCGTCTTATCCCTGAAAAGTAATTCCTGTTGTGTAAATTTGGGTTGCATTAGACCTCAATGTCAGGTGATGTCTGTTGTAGTCTAAAGAATCTTTACTCTTGATACAGAAAGACTTCTGGGAAAGGTGAGCTTTTGAGGCAATGAAAAGATTGAGAGGAGAGAGAAAATGGCAGATGGATGTGGGAGACTGTTCCAGACATAGTGGGTGGAGGATGATATGGAGGCAGCAGTGGGAGTAAGGAAAATGGTGCCAACAGGTTTAGTTGGCTAGGACACAAGGGGCAGCTGTCGTAGTTAGGAGTGGGAGGATGGTAAGACAGTCTGATAGAAACCTTGGAATCAGTTGAACTCTGAAAAAGTGATGGGGAATCAGTAGATTTAATGAAAATGACATGGTTGAGAATAGTGATAGAAAAATAAGGCTGTAATTTCAAATGACTGGATTTTAGAAAGTAGGATTATTATTGTTTTGGTAAACCCAACTTTGCAAAATTTCACATTTATAATAGAAAAGCACTTGCTGGTATTTGATGTGGCTGCCTTAAGTACATTATTTCCTTCTATGCTCTTATCACCAAAGGAAGGCCCTTCTTGTTACTGAAAAATCCAGAGCTAGCCAGGGCCTTTCAAAGAATATTCCTTCATTCCCCTTTGTTGCTAGACAAGGTTGACCATAGACCTAACTACACTAACAGAGGTCTTAGTCCAGAGCATCTCAGAAGAGGGAGAGTTTATCTGAAACTCATTGACATGAATAGAGACCTTTTACTGTTAGGATTTTTTATTACAATTTAACATTAAAGGTTTCTGCTGGAATATTATGCATATCCTTCTTGTCAGTGGTAGGAAATAGAGAACAAAAATTTCTTTCCATGTAATGACTCTTTCCTGTGCTCAAAGACCTAGACTATCTCTCATGATACCAACTAACTATTCACAGTTTATCTCTTCTTGGGTTCCACTTTTCATCCTTTTATTGTTCACACCCCTCTTACCCACCCCCTTGTTTTGTGTGTGTGTGTGAGGAGATTGGCCCTGAGCTAACATCTGCAATCCTCCTCTTTTTTTTGCTGAGGAAGACTGGCTCTGGGCTAACATCCGTACCCATCTTCCTCCACTTTATATGGGACGCCACCACAGCATGGCTTGCCAAGCAGTGCATCAGTGCACGCCTGGGATCTGAACCAACGAACCCAGGGCTGCCGCAGTGGAGCGCGCACTTAACTGCTTGCGCCACTGGGCCGGCCCCTCCCACCCACCCTCCCCCTTTTAAATCTGAACTCAGTTAATTAACCAGTCCTTGCTGAAAGATAAGAACAAGCTTCCCATTTTTAAGTAATGAAATCATCAGCTTGTGGTTAGCTGGAAAGGGGAGAAGACCAATGACATTCATCAATAACAATAAAATTCCAGTTGGTAAGTCATTCTAGCTTTAGGAAATATGTAGATATGTAATGAGAGAACTAAAATTTCCAGTATGAAGAATCAGAGGCTCAAATTACAAAGAGAAACTTGGAAAAACTCATTCATATTTACTCCTAAGCACTTTTCCACTGGTCTCTAGGCAGGAGCATGGTACCATATTCTAAACAGCGTTGGAACGTTGCTCATCCATTTTTAAGGATGTCTTTCTGAATACCTTCTAGATATACACTGTATTATTGTTAACACAGAGCTTTTCCACAAGTTATACACACCTGGCTTTTTATTTGTTTGAATTTCTAAAAACTAAAGTTTGATTCAAGAGGTACTGATCTGGAAGATTTGTTTTCCTTTCCAATGTGCTTAGCCAGATGTGGTTAACCTCTCCCAGATCTGCTAGAAAGGACCATCTCTGGTAGAGTGGGGCACTGCCATGTCTGTGGCCTTGTTTTGAAGAGGTAGCCCAGCTAAGACAAAGGATTCCTCTTCAATCAGACACAATAACCAGCGCTTCTGACTGACATGTAAGTGAAATTGAGCAGGATCGCAGGGTCAGAGCAGCTTGGATAGGATAGTAGTGGTCACGCTGACATAGGCTCTTAATTTGGGAGTGAGAACAATAGTGAAGAGCATTTAACTAGGGGATATTTTGGAACCTAAGTAGCTTATCCATGAAATATGCGTCAGAACTGAGGGCTAGTGTGCTGCTTTTGAGAGGTGGGGGGGACAGGTGAATAATTTCTGAAGTCTGGAAAGCCGGTTTCTATATCTGTCATTTTCTCTTCGGTGATTGCCTGCTGCCTTGGCTTCTATTGGTTGAGATGTGCTGTGATGAAACAGTACCAGCTGCCCTTTGATTTGACTGACCAGGCTTACAAGTCAAGAGACATAGGTATTTAAGGGGAGGATGAATGTCTTGCATCTGACATTAAAATTCCTTTGTCACTATGAGTTACTTGCTTGTTATGCATTGTGTACTGGGCCCCCTTCCCTGTCAAGAGTAGGAATAAGGAAGTTGACATAAGAACGCAGAGAGTGACCATTAAAAGATTTAAAACTCCAAACTGAGAAGTACAAAAAACTTAATAGTTGTAGCCCTGAATGTCACCATACTTCCCCTTGTCTTTGAAAGCCCTGCAGTTAACCTTTGCCAGCTAGACTTGTCTTATGTCTTTCATGGCTGAATAATTAAGTCTGATGCACTTATTTTCTGCTTTGGAACACAGGGCGGCATGGATTTCCATGGCACCAAACTAATCATTTGGTTGAATTAATCTCTCATCCTTAACCAAGCAACACTTTTTTTTCAGCTTGCTATGGTCTCCCCTGAGGTCTTACATGGCAGAAAGCTTCCAGGTGGCTTGCTGATGATCCTGCCTTAGTCCAGAGTTATGTTGAACAGAAGTAGCATCTTAGGAAGTGTGGGAAGGAGAAGACCTCATAGTTGTTTTAAGAAACCAACACTTTCTTAATCAAAGCAAAAATGCCAAAATGCTGTCATCTTATCACCCTTCTTCAGTGAACTGACAGCTGACTGCCAACTCATGACACCTCTAATGCATCTCTTCTCCTTGGAGAGCTGTCTGCCAAGTATATTCCCTGTTTCTGAAATTGTTTGCAGCGACCCAACCTTCTTTTTTTTTTTATTTTTTTTGTGAGGAAGATCAGCCCTGAGCTAACATCCATGCTAATCCTCCTCTTTTTTTTTTTTTTGCTGAGGAAGACCAGCTCTGAGCTAACATCTATTGCCAATCCTCCTCCTTTTTTTTGTTCCCCCAAAGCCCCAGTAGATAGTTGTATGTCATAGTTGCACGTCCTTCTAGTTGCTGTATGTGGGACACGGCTTCAGCATGGCCGGAGAAGCGGTGAGTCGGTGCGCGCCCAGGATCTGA